CCTCTTCCCCTTTCCTTCTCTTCTTTCCTACATGCCTTCTTCGCTACCTCCCCCGTTCCTTCATTACCTACTTCATTCCCTCCCTTGTCCCCTCCCTCCTTCCCTCCCTCCTATCCTCCCTTCCATCCATCCAGTTACACATCAATCACTCACCCGTTCTCTCCCTCCTTCACTGGCTCTCAGCATCCCTCCGCCACTGTCTCCTTCCCATCCTCTGCCACTGTGTCTCCACCTGTCCTCGTCGCCCTCCCTGTCCTTCTCCCCCTCCTCCGTGCCTTCCTCCTAATCGACCATTAAATCTCCTGCAGAACTGCACAGTCATCAGCGAAGAAGACGACTTGATTTTGCTCATGGGGGACTATGCCAGGTGACGGGTGCATGGAAATCAAAGGGTGAAATCCATATTCAGGGTGTTTCGAGTGTGAAAAATGAATATCTGCCACGAAACGGTCAAACAGGCAAATATTTGCTGTCTCTACCCCAAGCTTGAGAACAGTCTGTTAGAGTGCATGTCGCCTAAAGTCGTAAATTTGTCAAAAGACTCAAAACCACTGGTAGACTTTCTTAAACAGGCTTTCACCATAGGAAAAAAAAAAGAAGGGAAGGAAAGATCTCCTCATGCTTTCCTCCTGCATCTCTGGACCCAGCTTTAGTTCTTCTGATTAGCATCCCCTGCCAATGCTACTGTCTTCACCCAAATAGAACGCCTGGTCAGTATCGCTGTATCGGGACTGAAAGTTGCACAAAATACAGCTATAACGACCATGTGTTCTATTCGGTTGAAAACAGCAATGGGCTCTCTCTAGCAACTAACTTTGTTATTATTATTATTATTTTTTGGGTGACCCGATGGACCACGGATCAGCTATCAAACTGATCAGAACAGATACTATCATACTACACATGATCCGCGGTCCATCGGCCCACCAGAAAAAAAAAAAAAAAAAAAAAAAAAAAACAACGAAGCACTCCACTCACCAGAAGACAGAAAGATTAAGGGATTGACTGGGGTAGCACAGTGGTGGGTTGGTGGAGGATTACCTGTGCCAGTTAACACCACCTGTTTTCTATCCCAAGGCCGTGGGGCCTCGCTAACCGGCTGAGGGCCGCTTTCCTGACAGGAACCAGAAGTAATCATGATGCTGAGGTCTAGGAATGTGAAGTCCGGCCCTACCCCGGCAGAACAGGCGGAGATAGACCGCAGATT